GGGGGAGAGAGAGAGATTATAAATGTCGAATGTTAATTGACTACATTTAATTGCAAATGTGGGGCGAAAACGGGAAACGGGTAAAAATTGTGTCTGACGAAAGTGGGACGAAAACGGGTACTGAAACGAAGACTTGGGGCAAAAATGGGTGCACTGCTCAACGAACATACACATAGTGATTAATATTCTAGAATATCTATTGACAATGTGACAAAGTCTGACTGTTAAATCAATGGTCAGCAGTAGGCCTAGTTATTAAACTAACGTTTAAATGTGTATCCTACATGAAATATTTAAGTCCTACGAAAACTTTGACGTATATTTAAAGATATCAATGTTAACTGTAAAAAGTAATAAAAAATAAAAACCAATCAGAAACTAATCAAAGTGGACGAATCACTTAAAAAATGTAAACTCGCCTAGCTTTTTCCGGACCAATATTTTCAATACAACTTATCCCAGTTTCCATGCCAGGTCTTTTATGTTTCTGAAACTGTAAACCCAGACAGCTTCAAGAGGCTATACTGGTTGGTGAATGCCATAGGAAGAAAGGCACAGAGGACTAAGTTAAGAATGTTTTGTAAAAGATCGACCGGTTAATAAATTGCTGTCTGAAAACGAGGGCGCTTTTACAATTTAAAGTTTAAAGGGATTTAATACTGATATCTATTTGAATATCATGAAATCCTGGAACTTCCTCGGTTGGATTATTTTATATTGTGAATTCAGTCCTCCTTCGCAGCTCTAGTGTTAATTTCTTGAACAAATGTCTAGCTAGAGTTCACAGAAAGTGGCATCGTTATTAAAGAAGACTCTTGTATAGCATGAGTCTTTGGGTTAGGTTATCGCACTAAAAGTAACTTTGAACCATATAGATATTTGTAATAAGCCTTTTGTATAGCATAAAACTATATTTCTCCTTAGAATGGATTGATAATGCATGTCGGAAAATAGGAATGGGTGCCGGAAGTGTATTAAAAAACTTTCTACACGTTAACTGAAGCTGCAAATTCATTAATGGTAGCGAGAGACTCCAGATTATATTGCTCAATTACACAAGTAAACTTATTGATCTGCATCATTTCTGCTTCCTTCATCTCCATCTTTCTTCCTTTCCTCTTTTTCTATTCTTTAACCGGAAGACAATACTTCTTCCAAATGATCTGTCTGTGTACAGTATTAGTACGACATTTAACAAATCCATGCACAGACTTTATTGGTGGGGTTAATCTAAACCTGTATACAAAGGCACCATATAAAAGGCGGCTGTGTGTTTGATGAAAGGGGTGGGGGCGACTCGAGGACATTATGACAAAATTTAAAAATATGGTATGCAATATGCAGCAGGTCATATCAATTTACCTCAAGCCATGCCACGCTGCTGACACTATCTATCTATCTATCTATCTATCTATCTATCTATCTATCTATCTATATATCTATCTATCTATCTATCTATCTATCTATCTATCTATTTGTCTGTCTGTCTGTCTGTCTGTCTGTCTGTCTGTCTGTCTGTCTGTCTGTCTGTCTGTCTGTCTGTCCCATTTTGTGACTGGCAGTTTCATCCTGCTCGTCAGCTCATCATCCTCTTAAGCCTCATTATTGCTATCGGATTCTGAACTAAAGTTTTTCTTTTCCGTAGCACACAGATGACCTAGATGTTCGTCAATGACGTCACAACTAAAGTCTGGTAGGAGGCGAATATTTCCGAGGACGGCAATCCGCAAAGCGTCTAACTTTTCTGCAGTGTCGGAGCAAAGAAAAGATGACCCTAACTTTTTGTATGAATTGTACTGATGAGGACAACTTTGCCGATTGGAAGCAACCGAGTGTCGTCTTAGCAACGCTAGTTACGTGACGTTCAACGTGGACCCTGGTGAAGACGGTACTGTGTATAGAAAAGCACCCTTACGCCACGTTGCTTTCTTGAAACCACGCCAAGGCCATAAGAAGAAAGGCAAAGCGCATCACCTCTCATCATGGCGTACACCCACTTCACATATTATACGAACGGGTTCGTGGCAGAGTACGTGGATGCAGGGGAGGAACGTTGCAGCTCTTGGCTCCTTGTGCCCGCAGAGAACCTCTGGCCGGACTGGCTGCGGGGTATACTCTACTGTATTGCTCTCTTCTACTTATTCGTCGGTATCGCCATTGCCTCCGACATTTTCATGTGTAGTATAGAAGTAATAACTGCAAAACAACGGAAAATAAGTAAGTGGGACCCGGAAAAGAACGAGATGGTGGAAAAAGAGGTAAGGATTGTCTTTGCCTGTTGCTGTTGATTAGTTACTGAGATTCTGCAAAGGCCGATTGAAGGGGGTGGAGGATGAGGATGATGTATATTGGCGCTATATAACAGTTAGGGGACTCACCTGGCTATCCTCTGTAGAAAACCACGGGATGTTTTCTTTTAAGTTCATTTGTTTTACTATTTTCTATATACGGGTAAATGGGTGGTACAACTCGGACACCGCTTCTTGAGCATCTGAACGATAGCGAATAGGCTAGAACTAAATAAAAGTAAAAGTTAAAAAAAGAAAAACCCTTTCCGGACGTGCACTATTATGACCCCTTTGGGAATAACTTTTCAAAGTTATCGTGCTGATCACTTTGTTTGAGCCCTCTCACCCGATTTAAAAGGAAGTCCTAGTCCGAGACTATTTTGTGCTCGGCGTTCCATCGAACTAGTAATTTGTTCAAAGTTTTTCTCACCATAGACAGACGACAATAAAGATACTTGTCTGTCTCAGGTTAGACGTGAATCTGAATAAAGGGGTAATCGTTTTGTGCTCTTTACATTTTATATTTATTTTCTGTATTTCGTTTTACATTTCTTAACACGAAACAGCCCTCACAGTAATATGTTTCTTTTAATATTGCAACACGGTCTCTGTCATCATCATGATCTTCATCATCATCATCATCATCATCATCATCATCATCATCATCATCATCATCATCAACAACAACAACAACAACAACAATAACAACAACAACAATTGCAATTTCTATAATAATAACAACAACAACAACTACAGCTACAGCGACAGCTACAACAACAGCTGCAAAATCAACAGCAACAACAACAACAACAACAACAGCAGCAACAACAACAACAACAACAACGACAACAACAACAACAACAACAACAACAACAACAGCAACACTTTTCACAAAAATCCCCACAACTGTTTCAAGCAATATTTTTTCTTTTGTCCATAGCTATTTTTACTCTTGCAGTTGGCTATCAGCCTGGTCATTTCGAAAATCGATAATTGTGACACTTTTCGTGTTGGAAATGTGTTTATCGGTTGTTTCAGGGTCTAGTTTTTTGGAGACAATTTCACCATCATCATCTTTGCCTTTCTCAACCTGCACCAAAGAATAACGCAGGAGCAAAAACGTTCCACTTTTCCCTCTCTTTGGCTAACTTAAAAAAAATAAAAAATTCCAAGTCTTCCCACTTTTTGTACATTATTCTCTGTGATTCTTCTTCAAGTTCCACGTTGCCTTCCACCTTTATCTCTTAACTTGTAGATTCCAAAAAAAATCTTTCTTTGTCTGAAATAACCTATTAAGTTCTATTTTCTGTTGTATTGCCGGAGAAATTCAACACACATTTCATACCGAAAAACACACAAATATTCATTAATCATCTAAAGACTGACAGTAAACAATTGAGTAGAAACTTCCTGTTTTCAAGCTTGAACCATAATGCTTCCGCCCTCAGGTTCTCATCTGGAATGAGACCGTGGCCAATCTGACACTCATGGCTCTTGGCTCGTCTGCCCCGGAAATCCTGTTGGCCGTCATCGAGTCCGGCAGTAACCTCACGTCAACAGAGCCCGAGGACTCTCTAGGCGTGTTTACCATCATCGGAAGCGCGGCTTTCAACCTGCTCATCATTACAGCCGTGTGTATCGTCAGCGTACCGGCTCCTCAGTCCAAATCTATCAAGGAGTTCGGTGTGTTCATCGTTACGGGTGTCTGGTCTATCTGGGCCTACATCTGGATGTTGATGGTTGTCAAGTACATCACACCGGGAGTCATAGACCCGTGGGAAGCGTGGGTCACATTGTTGTTTCTGCCGGTGTTGGTTATTATGGCATACCTACAAGATCTCGGGTGGTGCTGCTCTCGGAAAAAAGTTGGTGAATCCGCAGATGGAGAAGATCCAACAGCGGTAAGGGCTTACTCTTTTCTCAGTGTGAACCTTATTTCTTCTGTGTATTTTTCAGCTACACATTCTCTCTGTCTTTCTACCCCTCCCCTTTTTTTTTCTTTGTTTAAGTCTCAATCGTTTTAAACTCTCAACATCAGTGGTTCAATCTATATCTACCTATTACAAGGTATATCTTCAATCTGAAGTAGATAATGGTGGTTTCTATTATTCTGATATTATGTTGTCAATTTTCTTTTATATTCCATCCTCTCTATCCGTTTATCACATACAAACGTCTCCCTTTAAACTCCCCCCCCCTCTTTCTTTCTCACCCTATCACTCAGCCACTCACAACGTATGTACTTGGAACATTTGTATGACAACGGACAACTGATAACGTAGGAATTCTATTGTATATTATGTAGGTTAGTCTGGACTCAGACGGTCTATTTCTTAAATATTTATAACGTTTTAGAAAAAAAAATTGGAATGTTCCATTGTGAGTACTTTTGATTTGTCCGACAAAAAGGTTAAACAGAATGCACTGATTTGCGTGCAGACAGAAAGATTGGCAAAAGAAGCCTTGAAAGAATTTTAACTTTGCGCTTTATTTTATTGTTCAATCAAGTCCCTTGAAAACTACACTGTAAGAGGCCAACTTCTAGATAACATCCGTGCCATTTATGAGAACAGCATAAGTACAGTAGAACGTCAGAGGGACTCACAGAATGGTTCGAGATAACATCCGGAGTAAGACAAGGTTGTGTCCTATCACCACTACTATTTATCATATATATATATATATATATATATATATAGAATTACAAAAGAGGCCAACACAGAACCAGACGCCCTAATGAATTACTCTTCGCTGATTACCAAAGCCTGGCACACAAAGATGAACATAGTCTCCAAAACCTGACCACCAGATTAGACGAAGAATGTAACAACTACGACATGAAGATCAACATCAACAAAACAGAGACGATGAAAGAAAGCAAAAAGCCAGAACCACTCAGGATACACATCAACAACAACAGTCTCAGACAGGTCCAAGAATTTAAGTACCTCGGAAGTATATTCACAGAGGATGGGCGACTGAACAGAGAAATTAAAACACGAGTACAAAAGGCCAGTAATGTTAGTTACCAGCTTACTCCACTACTGATACATCCTAACATCCCCATGACAACAAAACTCAAAATGATCAACACTCACTTATCAATGCCAAACATGGACCACGAACAAGACATTAGAGCAAAGAATTACAACATGTGAAATACGATGGCTTAGAAAAGAAGTAAACAAGACCAGGTGAGACAAAATTAGATCTCAATAATCCGAGAAATGGTGGGCACAAAAGACAAATGATGTCATGCATCACATCCAACACCAAAGAATAAAATGATAAGAACATCTACGACTACCAACACATCGTCCAACACAACGTGCCTGCATCCAAAAATTCGGTGGCAACAAGGCTAGAGGGCGACCAAGAAAGACATGGACAGATGGAGTCGGGGAAACATTAACCACTCACGGCATCCCCCAACCCAAACTCTCCGGCTGGCGACAGAGAAATGTCTCTTTCTTCCCGCGACACCAAAAAGGGTATACGCGGCGGATAAAAGTAAAGTAGGTAATCAAGTCCCTCGCCACTAAGTTCGAATGTCATCTCGATTCTGACGCTTACATTCATTTTGGCTTTTAAATTTTCCGTCAATGTGTCATACTCTGGTCATCATCAGGGATTATGTCACTCAGTCATAATGGTTTGTCATAAGTGTCTCAATGCAACATACTTACATCTCTTCTGAGAAGAATCACTGTGATCTTTACTTTCACATGAGACACATAACAGACATCGTTCTTGTTCTCACTGTCTACAGCGTACTTTTTATTACCATAATCTGATCAAGGAGATGTCGAGATCCGTTGCTTTAAATATGTTTGAAAAGTAGAACATAATATGTGTGTGTAGCAAAATTACGAAAAGCCAATATCCCTGTGGCAAATATACACGACGAACTTAACCGCAAAATTATCTAAAAAATGAATTAAAAAAACAAAACAACGAATGTCAAGGACAATGGCGTAAACTAATAACTATAATATATCAGCAAAAACACAGACGAAACTGCAGTATGCCATGACTACAATGATTATGGAATTGGAGTAGACGAAGCTAACCTAAAACTTTTCGTCAAAAGACTCGTCTGTCAGATACGTTTTCAAATATATCTCTTCTCTCTCTGTCTCTCTCTGTCTCTCTCTGTCTCTGTCTGTCTGTCTCTCTGTCTGTCTGTCTGTCTGTCTGTCTGTCTGTCTGTCTGTCTGTCTGTCTGTCTGTCTATCTATCTATCTATCTATCTA